GTCTGGTGGATGAAGGTCGCCAACCTCCATGGCGGATTTTCGACAACACACCGTCGTCTCAAAAAGGAATGAGATAACAATGCCCCACGTGCTCTTGTTCTTCTCACCGCGGTCCTACCGTATAATCCATGTATCCGTATTCTTGGCTTGAGAAAATGTTTGCACCAAAGTACTGTTTCTCTCCACTATCCCGGTTCCCGACTAACGTTCATCATGGCCTCTCACTTCCCTCGATCATTCCTCAACCCTCCTTTTTTCCCTAATGCCAACCCTACAGCCCACTCCTTTGAGATCTGGCCCCGTCACATTCAGAACCATTCTTAAATCTGTGTTGCACCATGTAAAGAGCCATGTCGGCATTGGAATAGTATGCTCTGTGGCCTATTTTGATCCGTACGCGCCAGATGCCTCACCAAAATAGATCTAGTGTTACTCATCATTGATTTTATAGAGGAAACTGGAGGTGATTTTACCTCCTTCTCACCTGCACGCTGCACCTGACTCCTATAAGTGTTGATCTCCAGGCCGGAGCTAACTTTGGCTACAGACCGATGCTCTTCGTGCTCCTTCTTTCCGGACTGGGCGCGATGGTATTACAAGTAAGTAACAGCTGAATCTTATGTCGACCTGACTTCGAATTCATTCATTTTTAGACCTTGGCATGCAAGCTAGGATGCGTAACAGGAATAGGTGAGATCTGAGTTCAGTGCAACTGCTGTGTAGTATTCATCTGTCCCCAAAAAGATTTAGCTTCTCATTGTCGGCTGCTCCTTCATGACCATCCAACGCATCCTCGATTAGTGCGACGTATGGTCATGTATCCTCTATATATATGCGCGGAAATTGCCATTATTTCAACAGACCTAGCAGAGGTTATCGGATCTGCGATTGGCATTTGCCTGATTTTCCCGAGTCTGCCTCTATGGGCGGGAGTTATCCTAACTGCCCTGGATGTTCTTGTCTTTCTCCTTTTCTCAGATCCGTCTAGAAGACAAGGCAAGCCAGTTAGAGTATTCGAATTAATAATAATGACATTGGTGAGTCACCTTCGCGAACATTCCGAGGTTCGATCAATTATTGTACTGCCAGGTCTTTGCTGTCTTTGCCTGTTTTATCGTTTTACTACTCCGAGTTCATCCACGGTGGACCGGTGTTTTTTTAGGATATATCCCGGACAAAAAGCTCTTCCAAAGCCACCCAAACGCTCTATATGTCGGTATGGATATTTAGGTTTTTTCAAGGTAAAGTGAACTCACAAGGATGTAGCCGTTGGTATCCTTGGAGCAACTATAATGCCTCATGCTCTCTTCTTGGGGTCTTTTCTTGCTACTCAAGATCGCGAGGCTCTTCACAAACCGACACCTGCGAACCTTCCTGAACCCTCGAATCGGAAGAAGCTCAAAAGAAATACGAAGACATTTTTCATGGATCTCTTTCGTATAACTCCAGCAGAGCGGGCTGCCGCTGCAAAGGACTATAGGTCCAGATACGGCGTTCGAGAAAATAATACGCTCTTGTTTGTCAAACGACATCTTCATCATATAGTCATCGACGTATGCTCCAGTATCTTGGTCTTTGCTGTTCCCATCAACTCCGCGTGAGTGAAAATCATTCGATAGCTGGTTCCACTAACGTCAGAGTGGGGACTAGTATCCTCATACTCTCTGCTACAGTCTTTTTCGATAAATTAACATCCAAAGACATGGCAGGAATGACTATCGGGCTCTTTGACGCTCATGCTCTTATACATGCACGTATCGGCTCAGGTATCCTTCACTGTTTGTATGTACCGCATTCTTTTTCAAAGCAATTTGGATAGGCTCGGCTTTCTTGTTTGCGCTGGCACTTGTAGTTGCAGGGCAATCGTCTAGTATCACTGCAACACTTGCAGGGCAAGTAGTTGGAGAAGGCTTCATCGAATGGAGAGTCTCAGTAGGCTTCCCTCATCTTGCTTAGCTTTGACCTCAGAGCTGATCAAACCTCGAAGCCATTCCTACGACGACTTCTAACACGTTCAATCAGCCTTATTCCATCAGTGGTAGTGGCTGTCGCTGTCGGGCGCAATGGCATTGACAATCTGCTTATCATTTCGCAGGTTGTTTTGTCTGTGGCGCTCCCTTTCGTTGCATTCCCTTTGATATACCTAACATCTTCAAAGGTGGTGATGAGAGTGCAAAAACCTCCATCGCCTCCATCAGCTGCGGAGACGTTCGATTTCGAAAGAACATCTGTTCACGCAAGTGAACCCGCTGCGGATAGTTCAGAACCCTCTCTTCGTGGAGGCATCCAGGAAGTGGACGTTGAAGAGTCAATAAATTCATCACCTAATTCTAATGGAACGCCGACACACAAATCTGAAAATGAAGACATTTCTGACGCTATCTCTATCGATAATATAGAATACATCGACTACAGCAACAGTCGACTCATGTCGGCGTTAGCGTACTTGATATGGGCTGTGATCTTGATCACAAATGTATATACTATGGTCGCTCTCGGACTAGGTGATACGTGAGTTGTGACCCTAAAACAGACTGTAGGAACTTTTCATCGATGGTATGTACTCTGTAAAATTCAAGTTCAAGGTATTTATTCCGCCTCGTTGCTCCTAAGAATACAAATACCCAACCAGAACTTGTTTCTCGATCATGTCATCGCTACCAATACACAATGTATAGGTGAGTTCCGCTTTGTATGATCGAGGGCATGCCAAGGGCGAGTTACCTCCCGAGAATTCACCCATGTAAGGAAGCCAGGCTATAGCAGGGCTCAAGGGATCAGCGTTTAAAACTTCGGTGTTTGAGGCTAAACTTCCTTTTGACAGAACGAATGGTGTTGATCGATTGTGAATTGAAGAATCCAGAATAATGACCATTGACCTTAATTGACGCCGGTTACACCGTGACTGGATACGGATCTCAAGTCTCAAGTCGGTTAGTTCAAAGTTGTGCACATATCTAATCAGGAACTCCAGGTGATTCACTTGAGTCTCAAGCTCATTGAATTTTTGGGGGGGGGGAAGTTGACCAACCACGGGATGACGATTATTATACGCATTGCTCCTGATCAAGCCGGAGGTGTTCTGTTTTTGCTGATGAATCTATTAAGACGAATATTTCGTTCTTGTTATGAATAAAATGACGACGATGGTAGACATTAAAGATCAACTAAAAGAGAACAGGCGGACCAGTGCATAGGACACGCAAACTACGACCTTATACATAGGAAAACGACGAATGCATAAACGATAAGTCAGAGAATTCAGCTCGAGATCGCGATCGTCGCTGGGCCCAGAAAGAACTAGGTAGAACAAAACACTACTAGTCGCCTACCAATAGACTCCAGGGCGGTACGATACGTGATACAACGAAAGACAAAAGATGTTCGGCGTGCCAATGCCCGTTAGATATACGTGTAACATTAACGACATCGGGCAAATTGCACATAAGGGAGCCGGAAAACATATTGCAGAACGGGCTTGCCAAACGAGCGTGAGTCTTCGGCATGAAGCTAAAAAAACTGGCAAGTGAGAAGACCAGAGGGTGTAGATTTATTAATAACATACGTACGCGAAGAGAGTGTGAGATGAGCGAAAGTTACTTGACTTTGTCTCCACAATCGCAAGTGATCCGACCACCAACGGAACTCTTCCCACAGCTATCGCACCAGTTACGTCCACCTTTGTCTACTCCAATCGACTTCTTCGAGGTTGCAGAATGGGCAGAGGAGCAAACAGATTCATCGCGATGGATGCTGATTAGATGGCGACCAAGATCATGCTTGCGACTGAAAGATCGCCCACACGCGCGGTGTGGGCAGACATGGGGCTTCAGCCTGTTAGGATCATGGGTGGCCATGTGGGTCTTCAGATTGTAAGCTCGAGCAAAAGCTACAAATGAAAAATATCAACAACGCCAGAAAAGGACACGAAGTCAAGATTGACATACCGCGAGGACACACATTGCATTTGTATTTTTTGCGAGGGTCCCCTTTATATTCTTCTTCTGAAGGAATCAGAGGTATTGAAGGGACGACTGGCAGTGGAGAGGGGCCATTTGCAGGAGACACTGCAACACCATAATTGGCCAATTGGTTATAATAGTCATTGGATATTGAACTACGAGCAGGGCCATAGTCAGAGAAGCTGCTTCGAGGAACGTAAGGCTTTGAAGCAACCTGGGCGCGGTTAGGAGGACTTCGAGGAGGTGTAGGAGGCAAAGTGGTATTAAATACAGTGGTTGGATCAACGCTGTCTATTCCATTAAGAACCTGCGCTTGCGCAAGAGCCTGAGCGGTCGCATAGGGATCTACAGCTATGCGCTGGAAATCCATTTCGAAGTCGAGAGGGAAGGAATAATGGGAGCTGGAGTGAGGAGAATAGCTGTATACTGACTCTGAGTGTGCAGAAAGTGAGTCGTAGGCGGATTCGGATGATACTGTCAAGGTCGATGGAGGACCACAAGTAGGGGTGTCGGAGCGTAGAAACTGGAAAGCGTCATTCTCTACGGTTAAGAGTTCGAGGTTAATGTCCTCTAGCCCAGCGAGGGCATCAAGATCGGTATCGAATTCATCAGGCAAGGGAGCTAGCGGGTCCGCAGAAGCGTGGTACGAAAAGTCAAAAGCCTGGTGGTACTGCTGCTGTTGTTGGCGTTTATACAGGTCATATTGGTTTGGTGCAACATTGTAAGTGGCATGTTCTGTGGACATGATGAGGTCGTTGACAGGTGGGCCGATTGGTATGGGTTTGGTTGGGCGATTTGTTGGAGCTAAAACCTGTTAGAGGGGGATCTGACGAAAGCTGTTACCAACTTAATGGGCACTGAGGGTGAGCTTTTTAGTTTCCGCAGTTGATTCACACGGTAAGACCTGATCAAAGTGATATATATGTTTCTTGATTTCACGGCCGCCGACCGACCGACCGACTCGTCGCACACTCGGCAACGCATGGATACAAAGAGGAAGATTACCTAAGCGATCCAAAAATTCAGCCAACAAATAATAGCCCACCGCGAGGGTCGAACTCGCAGCCTTCAGATCAAGACTGCCCGCCTTAAAAGTCTGACGCTCTATCCGATTGAGCTAGGCGGGCTTAAGAAGCTCTTATATATAGTGCCTCAACATTGAACGCAGAGGAGAGACTTGTGTTATTCTGGAATGGATATTGTGCAGTCATTCTAACCTCTTTTATACAGTCAAATAAATCTAGCACCTCGGAATGGGCAAGCAAAGCATTTTCCAAATCTGATTAGATAGAAGGTGAGTAGAGACTATACTGAACCATATGTGTTCTAGCTCCTTCAGACAGTAGTCACATTGATAGTGATTTACATATTGGTTAATTGATAATCAATACAATTTTGACAATAATCTGTAGTGATGGCCATCTATATATTCTAGTGTACTTCTTATTGTTATACCTTGCCATCAATACTTCAGCATTTTGCTGTCTAAAATTCAGTTTTTGGGTTATTATACAACAAGTACAACTTGAACTTCAGGAAATCTCATCTGAAAAAGTATCAGATATCATGTATGAATGTCAAGACCATGCTCAGTGCCTCCTGCTGGTGTCAGCTTTCTGAAGATCTTGCCTGATTGTAATCTTTATCTTATTGTTCTTTCTCGCTACACATTCCCTTTCTACCTAGCCCACTTTTATTGTCTTATTCTTTACCCTGATGGTACTAAATGTACAGCCTCTATTAGTTAGTCTGGTGCTTCACCCCGATGTGCCAATAGTTAGTATAAATACTCCTGTGCTGTACTTTAGTTCCTCAGTTTAATTATTGACTTAGATCACCTTAGATCACTCACTCTGTCATCTGAAGTCTTGAGGCTTATACCTTGAGCAACCTCTGTCTTGATCTTAGAACTTATAAGTTCTTTGGTTTGCTCCTCGTTGTCGGCATAACTGCCGAACATGGCCTGGCTGCTACTTGTACCTCTACCTCTGATCCTACTCTCTGAGGACTAGCTGTCATGCCCTGACTCCTTTTGTAATGTCAAACCCCCCTTCTCCTCCCCTTGGGACCCCTACTCTTACCAAAGCTCCACCCTTACTCCCCAAAGCTCCATCCCTGTACCCAAGACCCCCATCAAATCTCACTATAGCTCCCACCCCAAAACTGGAACTGCAGAACCTCCCCAAACGCCACACGTCAGCTCTTATCTCCATTAGTTACCAATCTCGATTACTACTTTATGCTCACTTGATCCCCCAATGTCTCCTTGTCAACTTCCCGGTACCTATTTAAACAGCCCCGTGACGACTGAAAGCCCAGCTTGGTATTTTTTGAACACACACCCTTTTGCATAGTTCCAGTCCCTGTCCCTTTGTACCTGCTAACCATACAGATTTCTCTTACTCTCTGTTTCCTTATCTCAATCTCTCTACTCTTATTTCTTGTCTCTACGATTGTCTACATGATCCAATACACACTTTTACTTCACGTCTAAGCAGTCCGAGTGAGTCTCCAAGCTCCCTTGACCAATACTAAAGCTCCCCAACATCTATCGTTTTGGTGAGCCAACCTCCCCTGAACCTCCTCAAGCTTTCCAAGTGCTCCACAAGCTCCGAAATCTTGAACTAGGTAATGTCGAAGCTACCCTTACATCGAACTACGTGCTGCTTCTCCGTTACCACCTCCACCTCTTGAGGACGTCAGCTGTTAACCCCTACTTCCCGGGCCCACAATCTATCAGGATCTCTCACGTTTGAAGCCCACATTGACTACGATCTATAACGATCTTACGTTGACACTTCTAGCTAGTACAACTCGTACTACGCTACACTCTGATGTTCTCTAGCTCCCGGCGACATGCCTAAATTTTGGCTAGACATCTATGCAGTGAATTGTGACACTTTCACATGTAGATTTGTATCAAGAGGACTGTAATTGAGACCCAGATTGACAGTCAAAGTCAATACTGAATCAGTCTAATAGCTGAAGGGACCCTATACCCATACTACTACAAGTTGGTTAGTTTACCCATCCCCAATACTACCTTCAGATAAAAGTCTACCTGTTTGTCAAGCAGGATTATACCAGACTCGGACTACATCCGAAGGATAACCATACCAAGGGCATTCTTATTGGACCTTACACTGGCAGGAGTTTGGAAGAACTTACTCAAGTGACCATGAGCTGAGGACTGACTCAAAATGACTTTCTAGAACTCAAGAATTGTCAAATGCACATTCTAGAACGAGATCGTGTATTAATCTAAAAAGACTGCAATTTAGTCTAATAGACCAATCAGGTTGCATGATTAAGGAAAATGACTAGAAAAATGATCGAAGTATGGCGAGGTTCCGAAGACATATCAAATGAATGTCAAAGGAGTCCTGACATAGAAAATAGTGAAGAATACAATTAAATGAATACTATGCATAACTCCCTTGATAGAGTATAGGCACAATGGGTGTCTATTGAAAGAGAGAAGTAATTAGTTTAATCCAGATGAATCAGACTGATAGGATTAGAAACAAGGAGAGCTAATTTGCCTTCGGATGAGGTGACAAACAATCGAAGGACGTGTTGAGCATCAATGACAGCTGAACACCATTCAAGTCATTCTCCAAAGCAATTAAATTAAATGAATACTGAAGTACATACCTATGTTTGGAGGTATACTGGAATCTTGGAACCAATACGGACCAAATAAGAATGAATTATCCAAATTAAATGATATCTGACCTATTGTAGAAGTTTCCTTGCGGTTCTGAATGTTCATTTTATTAAATTACTGTACCTCTATGTACAGTTACAACCGTCACATGTGCGTCATGGTCCCCATCAAGGCGACGAGCCCCATTTCGACCGTGACATGGGCGACCGTTAATATTTTAGTCCATTATTCCGAGAGGCTTGGTTAGTGCTGTGGGCATATGATGATGAGGGGAATCTTTGGTCAGAGACAGGAAATTTCAGGTAACAGTCTTGTAGGAACCAAATATATTATTTCAGCAATTTTTTAATGTCACGGTCGGAACGAAGGCGACAGGCTTAACTTTTACGGTAACATCACGGTAAAAAGGCGACACGACGAGGCCTCCGTGACCGCGACCGTCGCAACTGTACATAGAGGTACAGTAATTGTACTGTGCGACTCTATATCCTGTATGTATAAATAGCAATCTGATGTATCTGGAATGGAAGTGATTTTGGGACGACGTTGCAGTGCTAATCTGTAAAAAGGAAAGACACACTCCTGCCAGACTGAAGCCCCTTCACTAGCAGCCATTTGGGCCTGGCACTTATTGTCACAAAGCGTCAGAGACGGAGTGACTAAGCGGAGCAACGGGGTAAGCGGCAGCGCGGAACGACGGAGCAGGCGGTAGAGGCGGAGCAACTG